TGGAAGACTTGGTTTCATCTCTTTTTAATTTTCTAAAAACATTTGATATATTGAAGAGTCATGTTTTCAAAGACTGATTTGTTATGAACACATCAAAAAGAACAGTTGTGTTTTTATATGCCTTCTAAATGAGAAAGTGCTTTAAAACATTTTTCAGAGGATATTAGTAATAAAAGGAATAATGGATGATTTGTAACACTGCGCATCAAAACTACAATATAGGGCTGAAGCAAGAATCAATATTACTTATTATGATTGTGAGACAAGCCCTGCTGCTGCCCTGAACTATCTATAGCAACTGAATCATCACAAAAAGCAAACAAAGGAGAAATATTTGGTGTCTGCGGGAGTTTAGCTGAGACGGCTGTTCACCCAGCCAGCTATTAAATGCTTTCTGTGAGATGCTGACTCTGGAGCATTTCTGCTGAAATTTCAGCAACACAGCTGAAAATTAGATAAATTTTATAATTGGGGTTAAGAATTTACAGTAATCTATCTTTAAAAATGTTGTCCCGATAGTGTGGTGTCTAGTATAGCAATTTCATTTATGTGGAAGAACACACTCCACAACTACATATTTTTTTTTTTTTTAATCTGAGTCATTTACATAAAATTTTTATATAAAAAAAGACTTCTAAATCTTTTAGAAAAGTGAAAAAAATAGACATGCACAGGGAATAACACTATAATTTTAATCTCTACATGTTAAAACAATGAAAAAAGTAAAAAACCAATGGAAACCAGACATGAATTGAACAACCAATACTGGATATTTTAGGTTCAGATCTTTCAAAGGCAGATGAATGCACACTGATAGCCCTATGAATGCAGGCTGCCTTTAATTCAAATGCCAGAATGAAGCATTTCCCTAACTGTCTCTAAGAACAAGGACACAACATACCTATTTAGATATGACAATATATTCAATAAGGTTTTCATCAGTTCAGACAAATTTTGAACTCTTCTAAATGGTAAACTCATTTTGGTTAGCTCACAAAAATTTGAGATGCAAATCCAATCACGGTGCATTAACAGTATAAAGTGAAGAGTATATAGTATATAATGGGAAGGCAAAATGAAAAGCATTAAAGTTGCTATTATTTTAGATAAAGCATTTTAATTCCTTCAAGGTTACACAAGTATTACTGTAACTTTAGATATTCTTTCCCAAATGGGTAAATTACTTCTTTACCATGACAGGGTTGATTCAATGAACACTGTCATGTCCTGTGGCTCCATTCTGAAGAGAAGCTCCCCATGCCACTGCTCACAGGGTGTGAAGCAGGAGGTTGCTTATGGACTGCTATGATCCTCTGACATGCAAGTCAGAGGAGAGGACAGAGGGCTGAAGTGCTTAGTCAGTTACTCCAAATGCTCATGTATGGGTATTTTGCAGGAATGAAGATTTTTAGATTTGGCATCCAAATAACAGAGCATTGCAACCTAATTTTAGCACCTGTAGGAGCACTGAAATGCTCTGAAAGGCAGGGTCACCATGCCTTAATGAACTGTTTTATGCATCTCTGGTCTACTCGCTTATCAAAGCTGTCTCTGTCTCTTAACATCTCGTTGTTCAGAAAAGCCTCATGCCTTCATTCTCAAGTGACAGCAATGGGAAAGAGATACAGTTGAGCATCACTCAAGGTGACATGTTTGACATTTCACAAGGTCAAGTTCTATGTTAAACACAAGTTTGAAATGCCTTCAGACCTTGAACCAGATCTTTTATGGTTTCTCTGTACATTCCAGGATCACATGCAGTAATGCTTATTCAATTATTCTATTTTGCACTAAAAAAATATTTTAAAAATGCACATTTTTTTGATGTCTACTCTCAGACACCTAGGAATTGCATAGTATTAAATGTACTTGTGACTTCAATACAGTACCGGTTTGTCATTTTAACTCAGTTCTGATCCTTCACACAAATTTCTCAAATAGGCAGTGTTGAGGGCTAAAACAGTAGCCACTTTTAAAATACTTTTTAATGTGCCAAAAATTGATTTGTATACTAGCTTTTCAGTCTCATCCATACATTTTAATGCATGACTCAAGCCAGTGTTTTATTCTATCATACGTATCTACAGATGGTTCAGGAGGAAAAAAATCTAGGCATTCAAACTAGTTAATTGGTGACCTTTGGAGAACTAACTACTAATTGATTTTTTGAGTAACTCCGAAGTTGACATATTTGTTTCCCAAATGTTTGGGATAATTTTGTAGAATAACACCAATGATCAAAAAAGTGGCTGCTATTTCTCAAGCTACCAGGTTAATATTTAAATACACGGAAGGGATTATGCATTCATTCTGTGAAGGTATTTTAAAGATTTGTTTCCTGTTTTAGACTTACAAACACGAGCTAAGAGGAAGCTACTGCCTTTCTATAAAGAGACAGGTGACTCACAAGATGAATTTTGAGAATAAGTTTGACTGACATGAAAGAAGTGAAAGTTAAGGAAAGAGGAGATGTTATAGTTTCATTTTATGAAAAAGCTTTAAAAATCAAAGCCTGAGTAACACTGATTTCATCTTTAGGTGCAAACTCTAAGCTTCTTCTCTTTATTACTTTTTAAAGAAGAGAAAAGCAAAAACCCTGCAAAGTGGAAATATAATTTACCTTAATTGAAACTAAATTGGTAGTTTTGTAATCACACAATGGGAAATTTTTATGACACAAAATTATATATTCCCCAAGGCTACAGCAAACTTCATATGGATCCATATTAAATGACTCAAAAAGCTTTAATATGCATATGAAAAGTTAGAGAATGTAGTTTGCCTTTTATTTTAATTAACTGAAGGCCTTTTTAAACAGTTCCCACCAGGTGATTTGTTAGGTAGGATTAGAAGGACAAGAAAGGAGAGCCCTGAGTTGCATGAATTCAGATTCAATGGACAGCCAGAGCTCAGGTAACTCCTCAAGTTTTGTGCAGGAGGCACAAACCACAATTTTGGAGAAATCTGATCATTCCTTAAATGTCTCTGGATAATCAAAAAACTTAACAAATAGAGGTATTCTGATTTTGTGACCCTAGATCTGAGATCGTGTTCACTGCCACCTGCCATGGAGGAAGGCAGTGGGACTGCTAGTGCCTGGCCCGCCGGGGTGGAAGGCAGTGTCTAGCGCTTAAACAGTCAGTCCCCATCGTCCTGAAGAAACAGCTATTAAACCACACAGAAGCATCCACTGGCTGGATGAGCTCATGGCTGCCTCCTGGACCATACTGATGCTGAGAGCTAAGGTTAGGTTTTCAAAAACACAAGGGAATTGACTAATTCTTTCTATCATTTGGTGGATGTTCTAATGACCTCAGTGGAAAAAGAATTACATCTCTACAAGCTTTTGAAAATCTCACCTCAAATGTCCTGAGCTGGCAAGTCCTTCACCATGAAACTGGTGAAAAACACACATTAATTTCAGTAAGCATTAAAACAAGCTCTTAAGACTTATAGCTCCAAGCAGTCTAATTGAAGTTAATATTAGTAGAAACGCAGAGCTTGGAAGAATGACAGCCTTTGATTTTTGAAGGTGATCCCAGCAATCAAAACTACTAGAGACTTTTTCCTTTTAGAAGAAATTTTAAATTAAGTGCCAAACTTAGATCAAGGGTCAGACTTTATAAGGCTTTCGAGTTCTCCCATAAACTATTTCATACAGATAATTTTAGACAGTCCTACTTAGTATAAGCAGTTCTACTTGTCAAATGAAAGTGAATATATAAAGTCTTGCAGTATGATAAAATTTAAGGTATCTGCAAATACTGTTATGCATATGATATTGCTATATCAACTAATTTTCAATTGTAAGAAGGCACAAACAGCAGTAACACCTCTTTGCCTGTGATTCAAATCTCTTACTCAGCGATGATTTGAAGAGTAATACAAAAATCTCTCTCCTGGGTGTGAGAACCTGAAAATAGCCTGGAGGGCTTGAACCCCCTGCCATGCCCTTCCCCTGCCCCTAGTATTTTCCTCTGTGCATTTAAAAAAAAAAAAAAAAAAACCAACCCAAACAATTAGGACTTCTTTATTTTGTCTTGTAGTTGTAAGCTTCCCTCCTTAAGAGTTTGAACATGGTCAGTCAGGGGACTAATCAGCTGTCCTTCAGCTCCCGAGACAGAGAATCAGCTCCTGAGTGAGCTCCAGAGACTGCAGACGGTCCCTGGGAGAGGTTCACAGTCAGGAAAAGGACCTCAGTGTGGTTTTGAATGAGAAGCTGCTTGCAGCCTCTTTGCCATACAACAACACATCAACAGCGATGAAGTGTTCTTAGGAATCAGAGGGGAAAAATGTTTTTTTTTTTTTTTTTTAAGAAAATAAACTTTTCTTGTTAAAAAAAAACACGAGTTGTCAGACAGCTCTTGATGAAATTGGCCTCTGTTCTCCATGCGACTAGTTCAGCCAAGGAAACAAAGCAATCCACTAACAGCGAAGCTTATGGGAGTCTGGGGGAGCTGGAACAGGAATAAATTCATCCATGCAGCAACGAGGCTGCAGCAAGAAGGAACCAGCTGAAGAATGTAAAAGCCTGACAAAAGGGACTGAAAAAAAAAACAGAGACAGGAAGCCAAGCTTAGACAGAGGGAGAAGCAGAGATCACCTGTTCCCCAGTAAGACTAGTAAGGATTCTCAAAGTGTAAGGTAAACCAGAAGATGGGTAGCCTAAAGGTTGAAGAAAAAGGCAGTGACAATCACCATCAGTGACCATGAACTCCAGACACGGCCATCAGACAGCGTTGCTAAAGCACTCGTGTGGGGAATTTGCCATATAGGGTTGTGCAAGGTTACAGTAATTTTTCTATTGCAGTACAATTTTTGCCAAGATATTCAAACAAGGAGACATGTGGGCAACACAATTAAACTGTATCACAAACGTGGTGGGAATTTTACCCACTTCAGTAAAAAGACATCTATTACCTGAAAATTTTATTCAAACATCACACAACACACTTTATCAAATATATCATAGTATATCAATTAACAAGGATGTTGAGTACCTGAATGAAAGGGAAGAGCAGTCCAACTGCGAAGTTGGAGAGCCAGTTGACTGTCCCAGCTATCATGAATGCGGCTGGCCTCTGCGACTGCTGGAAAAACTCTCCAGTGAGGACAAATGGAATCCCACCTGAAACAGGGTCCAACAAGTCAGCGGTTTTAGTAAAATTCCTCTGCCAACAGCTGTTTCACTTAGAGATGAACATGCTCTATGTTGCACACCTCAGTGACTAGCACTGCTCTACAGCTCTCTGCTCAGGTGTACGCAGGGGCTTCTGAGCCAGTAAAACATGATTTGTCAAAACTGTACTTTAGAGAAGTGACACTACTCTCTTTCATGCCAACGCATCTCCTGTTTTACATCCTTACAGTGATGGCAAGAAGGTAACAGAGCAGTGAATCCATACAACAGCTTCCAGAGTACCACATGACGAGCCACATATTAAAAATATGAATGCTTCCACTAAAATGCTTGAAATTCTGAAAATTCAGAAATACTTCCAAAATACGCTTAGACTTTAACAGTTGGAAATATGGCTCCAAAGAGATTAAATTGTGTTTTAAAATAATTATTACCCACTTTATTTCAGCAATAAAAATCATTTGCTTCTCTACGAGCATACTTTTCACTGATGCTTATTTAATACATTCCCTTACTAGATATACTGCTGGCACTTCTGGCAAGGTCTATTTCATCAGCCAAAGACTCTGACCTCCATAATAACAAGCTCAGTTAAATACCACATTTGTCACTCGTGTTTCCTCCCACTTAGGCAGTGGACTATTTTGTACAGCACTGGCATATTTCTGGCCTGACAATAACCCCCAGGGAATAGATGTCTAGTAGCTGCAAGTCTCATTTTATGATCTTTGGCTTCCTTCGTTCTAATACGGTATTTCAACAGAAATATTTCTACATTTTATGGAATAAAACATGGATTACATTTGTCGACTGGCTATGTATTTCAGCTAATGCTGCCCATTAGACATGCATCTACTTGCAGAATTATTTCACCACAGTTTGAAGAACTGTAAACCTAGTAACATCAGTCAGGTCTTCAGTACTCCGGTGCTACCAATTTCTACCTCTAGGTCCTCATGTGTGCTGGCATTATCTAGCTCTCTCAAGTAGAGACCAAATAAATTTCTTTACTCTTACTTTATACATAGGAAACATAGATATGGAGGGTTTAGGCCATCCAAACTGCACCTTAATGTCCTTCCACAAGTCATATGTAGTATCTGAACTTTGTGACTGAAAAAAAGTGACATTTCCCAATAACACTTTGAACATGTAGAATAAGCAGCTGAACATGCATAAATTAACGAAATCCAACCAATATGTGGTCTACCAATCCTTGGTGGCTTCCAGTGCCTATTCTATCATACACTTGGGATTTGGGTTAAAATCCTAAAATATGGTAGGCAAACCAAAAATCACATCTGTTCTGTCAGCATCTGTTTTAGTTCTCACATGCCATGTGAGGCAGTGGTTTGCCAGAGCATTTGCCCGTTGGAGAGAGGAACTGAAGGACTGGAAACAGAAATCATGTAAGATGATTTATTTATGATCGTTTATTCTGTCATGCCTTTGCTGTAGGACAATCTACAGAGGTGTTGCTGTTCTTGTCAGTATAATAAAAAATGCTGTTTGATACCCATTTGGGAAAATACACATTGTACAAGAGAGGAAAAAAGCCAGAGGCAAAAAAAAAGACCAAAAAAAGTACAAAAGGACAGAAACATATCAGAAAGCATAAATGTTATGGAAATAAAAATGCATGGACACTGTCTTGCAAAAAGGTTCCTTGAAATTCAAATGCAGTTTCTAGATAAATGTTAATCATCACTAAAATTTATTAGTTACACACTCCAAGAAGCTCTTCAATATAATTTGAAAAATAATCAATTAATCTAGTGATGGTATAAATAGTATTTTTCAAAATCTAAAAAAAAAAAAAATAAATTAGCAGCTCCTCTGAGCTTTCAAATGTTCCCTAGAGGAATGGGGAAGGTGGTACAGACAGACCTCCAGACTTTCTTGTGGCATAGACAAGCACCTTCATAGCATCACAAAACAAAGAAAGTCAGATTCAGTAGGGGGATGACTTAGGAGAAATTATATGGAGGAACCAAGAAGCCTGAAAAGCAATAGGTGAGCTGTGTGAAAGACAGGCTAGGTCTAGAAACATGAGAAACTGAATGAAGCCAGGTCATTGCTGTATATTGCTACATGCCTGTAAGAGCAGAGAGTTGACCTTCCTAGGATGCACAGCAGGGAACGCGAATGCCTGCCCACAGCCATACCACTGTAAAGAACACACGTCACAACTGAGTGTAGTGAAATAGCACTGTGGGCAAGCTGAAGGAAAAATGTAAAGCCTTAAGACACAAGCAGTGGAGGCACCTGAGATCAGCTGAACCTATAGCCCCAGGCGTCTGTGCTCAGTCATGTCAAGGTGTCAGAGGTGAGCTCAAGGACCTTCTTCCCGGGAACTTGGTTTCTTTGAGATAGAAATCTGGGTGCATGGGTTTGAAGGAAGCCGTAGTATGCATTGACTGGGACAGTTGGATCTGGACTGCAGAGATCACAGTATTATGGCATCTCACCAACCATTCCTTAGAGAGTCTGTCTCCTTGCAAGGTCCCTTATATAATCACTAGGCTAGATGGGTTCAAACTGGCCTGTGTTCAGACATGGATGCTTGGAAATCACAGCCAAAAGCAACCCAACCAAACCACTGTATTTTTTGAAACAGCCTTTAAACATTTTGTCATGGGTTTTGAAACTTTAATATGTGTTTGAACGTGGGTGAAATAATTTCACCAAAAAGCTAACTGATGTTCTTTCTCATGGGGGATGTACCTGGCATTAGCATTTCCCATGGAAGGCTTTCCACACAATTTTCAGTGGAACAGCTTTATTTTAGCTCTGATCATAAAACCAAAAATGTATATTAGGATTTCCTGTAGGAGTTTTTCAGCAAGGTAGCTTCTGAACATGAATTTAAAGAGGTAATGTATTGACCACAATAATTATAGTGATTCATTTCCAAAACTTCATTCTTCTCAGCACTGCAGTGAACATAATGGTAGCAGCTCTTCACATACTGCAGTGCCATTAAATAAAGATTGTTATACCTGTTAGCATGCTACATCTATTCAAAACTACAGATTTCTTATTGCAGGACTTGTATATCAATGGACTGTGTAATGAAACTAGATTAAGCCCACATGAAACAATTAGATTTGCAATAATACTTCTAGATCTGTGTATTTTATTATTTTTCCTCCATAATTAGTCCAGTAACACTTTGAATCAATGTCATGTGCTGGTAAAAATCCAGAATCTTAACCCAATAGTCTTTTATGCATGAAATTGGAATGCTAGAATAGAAATAATATTCTTAGTATACATGCTACAGATATTAAAATATATATTTAAATTTGCACAAGTATCAACATGTTATCTTATGAAAAATTAAGTACACATATTTACTGTTTTGTTCCATGAGCAGTTACAAATAAATACTGCTTAGCAGAAGTTACTCGATTCAGCACAAAAATCTGAATACAGGAAACATGAAAAAGAAAGGAAAATACCAAGATCCTCATTCTGTTTTTTATCCAGCACCTAAATGGGAGTTGAAGTTATGTCTGTATACAAGACTTATGAAATGAGACTGTTAAAAGAATAAATGTTCAATACAAATCAGGGAGATTTACAATGGTAAATTGCCTCTAAAGGCAATGGAAACTTTGTTCCCTAAGAACCAGTAAAAGAGAAAGGAGCTCACTCTGTGAGCCAGTAGCTCGTCTTTTAATACACACTCAAGACAAAACTCTGTGTTCAGGCAGTGGCTCCATGGCCAGCCATAGGGTTGCCCGTCCCACCAGGAGGAACCACCAGTGGCCACACAGCCTAGTGGCCTCCTGCACGACTCAGCACTCCAAATTCTGCCCATACAGGAGGGAGTCTAGAAATCCTGAGAGCCCTGATTAGGGCAAGAGCTCCCAGACTTTACAAGTACATGCTTTGAGAGGAGCCTTCAAAGTGAGATGTTTTGAGAAAGCAGACAAGTACTTTGCAACAATGTTCTGTTTTGGAAAAAAAAAAAAAATGTCTGTGCAGCTCTAGGCAAGATCAAGCAAAAACAGCTTTAGGCTGCAAGGCAAGGCATGCAGAGAAGACTGATACAGCCTAATAGGATTGGGAGATATAGTAGTGTCTCAGTGAAATGCTTCAGTATTTGCAATGCAAGAGGTGAAAGACAACCCTAGAGGGCAGCTGTGGGAGAGAAGCAATGGAAGCAAGAGAAAGATCCTTGAAGAAAATTGCTGGAAAAACAACCCAATATTCTTCAGTGAGAGAGCAAAAGGCTGTTAGCTTCTACACTGACTGCAGCGATATTAAAAAAAAAAAAAAAACAAACAACATCAAACCAAACAGAAAACCCCAATCAACCAACCAAACCCCATGGGAAAATATGCTGCAGGAGTACTTCCAGTGAGGGATGCAATGCAACTACCAAGTTTCTTCCATCTCTATGAGTCAACAGATAGAATAAGAATTTTGTAAAAATACACCTCTCAGTCTTTAAACAGGTGTTCTGTAACCCATCAGATTATTTTAACCTGTACATCATTTTTTGATAGAATAATACCCCACCAAATAACAGCATTACACAGTCAGATATGACGGCTGTATTGCCCAGCTAATCCTGTTGAGGGAACTGGGAGCAGAGCGTGTGACAGGGGTGTACTGAGTCACAGCTTCATGCTACTGACTGCTGCCTGTCTCCAGCTCTTCTCCACGGGAGAACTGCTGATCTCATCTACCACAGCATTAAGCAAAACAGGAACTTTGCTTGTATAAAACAGTATAGTTCATTAACTACATTATTTTGTACCAATTGAAAAGCACGGTCTTTTCTGCCTTAGATTAAAAGACACTTTAATAAAGAGCATTTAAAGCTAAGTCAGTTTATGGCAAACCAAAAATAGAAACCATAACACCAAATTAGAAAACATGAATAATACAAAGCCTGGCAAAACTCAGTAATATAGTAATTAGTACCTATAGTTATTAACAGCCTAGTTTTTCATAGAGTATTGTGTGGAACGGGGTTT